GGATATCAACTGGTAGAGCTGAATACAGAGTGCACAGAGATTGCCAGAAGTTACAACCCATTCGTATGAAATTATGGTAAAGAGATTTGGGATACAGTACACAGAAGACTAATATCGTACAGATAATATAGACTAAATGGTTCCCGACACTAACGCTACAATAGAGGGTTTTCAGATAGTGCGTGTGGATCGGAAAATCAAGGAGAGCGGTAAAAAGAGAGGAGGAGGGCTAGCAGTGTTTGTGAGTAACAGATGGTGTAACTGTAATCATATAACTGTAAAAGAACAGCTCTGCACCCCGGACATTGAGCTACTAGCAGTTAGCCTGCGGCCATATTACCTACCTAGAGTTCTCGCAGGTTATTGTTGTGCTGGTATATGTCCCGCCCTCTGCCGACGCAGCCTCAGCGTGTGACGTCATACACACTGTTATAGCCGGACTACAGACTCGTCGCCCACAAGCCATGTTCTTGATAACTGGCGATTTTAATCATGTTTCACTCTCCTCTACCCTGCCTACTTTTAGTCAGTTTGTTAAATGCCCTACTAGAAATAACAAGACTTTGGACTTGCTGTATGCTAATGTCATGAATGCCTACAGCTCCACATCAATCCCCCCCCCTTGGCAGATCTGACCACAACCTTGTTCACCTCCTATCTCTGTACAAGCCTCTTGTACTACAGCAACCAGTAACCACCAAGACAGTGAGGAGATGGTCAGCTGAGGCCAATGATGCACTGATGGACTGTTTTGAAACAACGGACTGGGAGATACTCTGTGAGCCTTATGGAGATTACATTGATGGTCTTACCCACTGTATCACTGACTACATAAACTTCTGTGTTGACAGTGCAGTGCCCACCAGGAAAGTGCGCTGCTTCTCCAATAATAAACCCTGGGTCACCAGTGATCTGAAGGCCATCCTAAATAGGAAAAAGAGGGCTTTCCAGGCAGGTGACAAGGAGGAGCTGAAGCGAACTCAGAAAGAGCTGAAGGTGAGAGTTAGGGAGAGCAAGGTGGCTTATGAGAGGAAAATGGAGGACAGGCTGACGGAGAGCAATGTGAGAGAAGTGTGGAATGGCATGAGGAAGATCTCCGGATACAAGTTGTCCGGCGGCCAAATAGAGTGAGGGAGGCCTGGAGAGGGCCAATGAGCTGAATATTTTCTTTAACAGATTAGATACAGTTTCCACTGTCCTTTCACCTCACAGGCCTTCACCCCAGACGCCCTCTTCATGTCCTTAGTCACCCCATCATGTGATCCCTCCTACTCCTACTCCATCTTCCCCTGCCCTCCTCGGCCTATCCATCACAGCAGACCAGGTTAGAAGGGAGTTGAGGAGACTCCATGCAGGGAAGGCAGGGGGTCCTGATGGTGTCAGCTCTAGGGTGCTAAAGATCTGTGCAGACCAACTGGGTTCAGTGCTACAGTACATCTTCAACCTCAGCCTGAGATTAGAAAAGGTTCCGATGCTCTGGAAGACGTCTTGCCTGGTGCCAGTACCCAAAAAGGGGCACCCTAAAGTCTTGAATGACTACAGACCAGTGACACTTACATCACACCTAATGAAAACTCTGGAAAGGCTTGTACTGGACCACCTCAGAACCCTGGTAAGTACAGATCTGGACCCCCTGCAGTCCGCCTACCGGTCACACCTGGGAGTGGAGGATGCAGTCATCTATGTGCTACACAGAGCTAACTCTCACCTGGAGAAGACGGGGAGCATTGTGAGGGTTATGTTCTTTGACTTCTCCAGTGCCTTTAACACCATCCATCCACCTTTACTGAGAGATAAGCTAAGGGCGGAGCAGGTGGACACTCCCCTGCTGTCCTGGATTATAGACTATCTGACCTGCAGGCCACAGTATGTACGGCTACAGAGCTGTGTGTCCGAACAGATTGTTAGCAGTACTGGGGCTCCACAGGGGACTCTCCTTGCTTCATTCCTGTTCACCTTTTACACCTCTGACTTCAGGTACAACTCTGAGACATGTGATCTGCAGAAGTTTTCGGATGCACCCCGAAAGAGGGGAGGGAGGAGGAATATAGGAGCTTGATTACCAATTTTGTGGAGTGGTGTCATCTTAACCATCACCAGCTTAACACCAGCAAGACCAAAGTAATGATCTTCGACTTTCGAAGGAATAAGTCTCTGCTGAACCCTGTTTCCATCCAGGGTGAGGACATAGAGGGCGTACATTCCTACAAGTACTTAGGGGTACACATGGATGATAAGCTGGAGTGGTCTAGTAACACTGACACCCTGTACAAGAAAGGTCAGAGCCAACACTATTTTCTTGGGAGACTCAGGTCCTTTGGTGTGTGTGGAACACTGCTACACATTTTTTAGGAATCAGTGGTGGTGGTGGCCATCTTCTACGCTGCTGTGTGCTGGGGCAGCAGCATCATGACAAAAGATGCAAATAGGCTCAATAAACTTATCAAGAAGGCTGGCACTGTGTTGGGGATGAGCCTTGACCCCATGGAGGTGGTGGCTGAGAGGAGAATGCTGACCAAGCTCACAGGCATCATGAACAACACATCTCATCCGCTTCATGGGACTGTTACTGGGCAGCAGAGCACATTTAGCAATAGACTGCTCCAGCTACGGTGTTCAAGGGAACGTTTCCGCAGGTCTTTCCTCCCGGCGGCTGTCAGGGTGTATAACGCTGCCCTAGGCTAGGACTGTAAGCCCTTCATTTGCTCCTCTATGGACAGCATGTTTACTCCATTGTACTTTTTGGACAATCAGTCTGTATAAACCTATGCACATTTTGCACATATTTTATTGTTTTTACAGTGACTATGATACAGTGACGCACATTTTGCACACACCTATGTATTTATTTATTTCTATTTATTTTGTTGTCTTTTGTTTTATAACTATTCTGATGTCTGTTTTGCTTGTCTTGGGCTGGACTGCTGTAACACATCAATTTCCTTACGGGATTAATAAAGTATTATCTATCTATCCACAATTGACAAATTTATTTTTATTGATGAATTTACTGAACGACTAAGTTTTATCAGATATACAGGAGACAGTAGAAGACCAAAAATCATACATTAATCTTTCTCCAATAGTCCGGTCTGCACAGTACAAATCTTTCCTTCATTGTTAATTGACCAGGAGAGCAACAGAAGCTCTATTCTGGTATCAGTGCTTTAGGTACCATAACCTTTGTAGCGGCAATGCTTGTTAATAAGACAGAATTAAGTGTTGCTGTGCTTTCCCAGATGAGGCCCCATCTCTCTGTTCATCTGTGGCTGCACCACAGAGAAGCTATTCATGTAGGCTGATTAAAAGATGTTTTCTTTTGATAAGGGACAGCTCCCAAATGGGGATGCACTTAGCTAAGCCTGGCTATCATGATTAATGGTCATCCATTGGCGCCTATCTGTCTAGGGAGTGCCAGATGGACATCTGGACTGCATTCCTAGGTGTCAGGAGTAAGTGACTCATATCTCACCTTGATCAACCAATCAGGGACTGGTAGGGCCGAGTAACCCACGTGGGACTCTGATGCCCAGGGAACTTTCAGCCAATGAACGAGCTGAAGTTCCTCCAGGTAAAAACAGGCAACACAGAGAGCCTGTACTGGACTTTTCTGAAAGGGAGAATCTCAAAGGAGAATTCCAGGGCAGGTCGGCCCAGGAGCAGAAAGGCTCCCAAGGGCAGGACATTCTCGCAGCGCGCCTCCTGACAATCCTGAGACTCAGCCCGGACCACCACAGAACGGCCAGTGTGTCCGAGTGCCAGAACTTTCCTTTGTTCTAAGAGTCTAGAGCGGAGATTCCCAGAGAGTAACCAGAGGATCCACCCGAGGTTAGTAAGCCTCGTGAACAGGTCGGAACTGTGGACAGCTGAATCACTATTCAGAACTAGCGCTTCATCAGGAACGAACCGGTCCTCTTCCTGACTTGCTGGGACCCACAGTCATCTTTTCTCTTGTGCCCAAACTTTGCTAGTTAAAGCCAACACTAACTAGCCGGTCAGTGAGCATCAGCAGCGCACCGTCGCAAGCCACACAGCACAGCCTGGCATGGAGCCAGAGAGCCCGCAGGAGATCTGAATCCCCAGAGACTGGATGAGTATTCAACTTCAATGCATTACAGCTCGAGAATTCAATTGTTATCCCAACCAGTTGATATCAATTTAATTCCTAAGAGTTATGTACTTGTTTTGAGTATCTAATGTAGAAGTTGTAACCAAGTTCAATTACGAAACGGTCTAAATGAATGATATACTGAGCGTATGTCCTCTTGATATGTGTAACTCTGTGACTATATGAATATATATCTTTTGTATTCTGATAACCCTCTTGATAAGATCTGTTAGGTTTATATGCATATTTTATGTTTTAATAAATGTATCCTCGTGTATTAGTACCTGTGTGTGTGCGTTGTTTGAGTTATATCGCATGGTTGGATTCTAAGGCCATCAAAAGAATCATTTTGTGATTTACAGTATGGCTACAATTAATAATTGTCCCCGTAAATGCCCAAACTCTACAGAACTGGTGCCTTCAGAGAGCACACTACACCTTTATGCATCAGGTACCATTATCTTTATTCTTTCACTGCCCTCTATTAAAGACAGTGACTTTCCCAATTATTAAAGCAATTAATCATCAGTACAGGATAATCACATTATTTCTCACCAGGCGTTTAGGACGCTATGGCATATTGCCATTTTTGGAGGTAAAATTCTCTAGGCTTTGCCCCATGCCTTATAACACAGTGAAATCCTGTTGAACCAAACCACTTAATTCTTAAAGTTGTTCTAAAGTTAATATTAGAAGTTGAACTCCAGTCTAAACAACTGAATAACTACAGTGCCCACATACTTGCTTAGGTGTTATTTATATTTTCAAAAACACATTATGCACAAATGTACTGAAATAAAATAGATGTACACAGCTTCATCTCCTCTAAAGCTGTAGAAACAATACTGATTTTTGTTGATAATACTTTTAACATGCAAGAAATTGAACTTACCTGTGAGCCCTTTTTGCTGCCAGGCAGGTTGATGATAAGAGTCTTCCCTCTGATCCCACACACAGGCCTGTTAGACAGAAAATAACCATTTAGGAGTCAATAACTGCAAACAAAAAGCAAATCTTTTGGGATAGTTTGCAGTGCATCGAAAAAGTTTGTGAACCCATTAGGATTTCCAATTTTTGAAACCTTAAATGTTACTACAGTACATCTTAATCTAAGTCTTAATAATAAAGTTAACATGAAGAAATAAACTACACAAAACATGATACTCTTTCAACATTAATTTATCCTGAAATGATGCCACATTTAATATACATGTATGACAAAGTACAGTATATGAACCTTTTCTTTCAGTAACTGCTGGCACCTCCTTGAGCAGCAATGACTGCAACTAAATGTTTGCTGTAACAGTTGATCAGTCTCTCACATTAGTTTTGAGGATTTTTGCCCCATCTATCCTTATAGAACTTCTTAAACTGTGTGACATTTGAGGCCTAACTTGCAAGAACTGTTTGCTTCGGGTCCTGCCACAACATTTTTATATGGTTTAGGTCGGGAATTTGACTTGGCCATCATTAAGGTAGAATTCCTTCTTCAACAGCCATTCTTTCATTCATTTGCTTTTATGTTTAAGATGTTTGTCTTTCTGCAAGACACACTTTAGGTTCACCTTCAGGTCACAGAAGAATGATGTTCTCCACTGGAATCTTCCAATACTATGCAGTTGTGAATCACAGCAAGTGGTTCAGGTCCTAAGGCAGCAAAGCAGTCTATCCATCTGTCGCAAAATGGATTGGTTCTATAACCTTTTTCAGAATGATGAGCATTCATACCTCTTTTTCTAAGGTCCTCAGAGATTTCTTTAGATCTCTGGCATGGCAGGTGAGGTCTTGCAAACACTGCACCCAAGATCCACCTACTTATTTAAACTCTTGATTATAATTGTTCCCTTTAATTATTTAATAAAACCAGGGGTTCCATTACTTTTTCACATACTAACATATTTTTCACAATTACTCAGTTTAGTTAATGCATAATTTTGTTTCAAGAGACATGGAATTGGTTATTTTAAACCTTTTTACATATTTACAATCATAACATGGTTTCATGGTAAAATTATGACATTTTCTAATTTATTCTTAGGGTTCACATACCTTTTCTTAGAACTATATGTGTAAGAATAAAAACAGAAAAAACATTCATAATATTCTGAGAACCACTTAAAACTTAACTATTGCTATTATCCAATAATTATTTGTTATGGTTTTAATGCCTTTTGGTAAAAAGTTTATGAAACTGGGAGTATTGAACGAGCTAACAAGCCAATTTCTTTTACAAAACAGCTGAATGAGATCCTTGGATCAATTAAATACTAACTACTAAATGGGCTATATGTCCCAAATTTGTACTTAACGTTGGAATCAATGAGCACATCACAACACTTCATCTCAAATTAGAAGGTAACCAATATGCCTACATGATTTTAGGAATATGTTCCTACTCTAATTTCAGGTAAAGAAGACAAGAGATTTCTATGCTAAAATCAGCCGAATTGTGGAATCTTGAAGGATTAGAGAAGTCTCCTGCCTGAGAGTTTAATACCAGAAGTGAAAGAATACCAGAATACCAGAAGTGCCAGTCTTAGGAATACAACCATTGGAAAGCATGGATTTGGAAGAGTCCAATGGCAATCTCCTTCGTACTAAATGCTAAAGGCAATATCTAATCAAAACCATTTCTGGTTTTGCCAGCATAAAACTCATGAATCACTTTGACATTTTCAGGTAATGCCAAGTGCTCAACCCATCCCCATTTTATCTGCTTAATTATGTCTATCAAACTGGCTCCCACTGTAGCTCACACTGCCCGATGAAGAAGCAATGTCAATAGGAATCAGTATTTTTCAGGGAGCATTGTCAAGACCAATTTAAGTAAAATCTATCAAAAATTGATCAAGAATAGAAGTGTTCAAATGTGGCAGAACTTTAAGAAGAAAAGGCATTTTGAAGATCTATTCATTCAAGAATCCAATCAACAGCAGAAATGAGAGATAAGCTTGGTAACCACTTACTCTAAACCTATGGAGCACAACATACAGGAACTAAGTCTACAGCTCCTTACTCTCTTAAAAATGACATGAAATGAAGAGGTAATATCAAAATATTTAAAGGATGTCATGGCTGTGATAATCTTCAAGAAAGGACACAAAAATGACTGTGATCCCTCTGCTGTCCATCACAGGAAAGTTCATTACAGACATTCTCCTGATCTTTTTCCTACTGCTGAAGAACATCCCCAGGAATCCCACTGTGAGTTCATGACCCTGAACAGGCATAGCTGACATGAGTTTTACAGTCCCTCGATTAAAAGAAAAAAGTTGGGAGCAACACCAACAACTCTGCTTATCATTTTCTGACTTGACAAAAATATTGAATTCTGTGAATCATATGGCAGTCTGGAAGATTCCCCTGAAGTATCGATGTCTTCCATGATCTTTAAACACTCTTCAGTTCTGCTTATAATGGTATACATGCAGCAATCCTTACTAGTAAACCCATTACAAAACTCATTACTTTAATGTGACTCCTGAATGACAACAGGGACCTTAGCCATATAATGAATGCTGTTTGAAGAAAGTTTTACTAATTATGCTACTGAATCTGCCATCAGCTTTGTTTGGTTGTCTGGTTCAAAACTCTTAAAGAATGTTCTCTTCTTTCCAATTTATCCAAAGCTAAACCACAGCCAAAGAAACTAGAATAATTGTTGCAAATGCAAAATGCAGTGTGAAGAATTGTATGGATATTAACTCCTGCGAGATTATGGTCCTTCACTGAAAAAGAGGGAAAGAGAATATCTTTGATGGAGCCCCACACTTTAAAATTCAAAGATGTCAGGATGCAACCAGAAACCTAGTCATGCAATACTCTGTTCTTGGCATGTAAAATTATGAAATAAGAAAGGTTACAAATGAGAGAGTCTAAAATAGACAACAAATGGGAGGTAGACACCATAAACAGATGAAATCATGATGGTTACATTGATGAGCTGAGAAAATATGTATTACACAAATAATTGTTTAAAATTCAGTACTTGGTTATAGAGTTAGGAAGAAAGTAAAGAAAGACTGTAATCTTTTCTCAGTTTCAATAACTGAGAAATAACCAATTTCCCTTCTCTGCACGACCAGGAATGATACATTTTTCAAGATCTCTGACATATGATAGAAAAACAAGGTCCAACAGTCGGCATAACCATTATCAAAAAAGAATGAATAAAATCTTGAAAGAAATTAAGAAATAAACATAGTATTTTGTGCTTTGGAGGAGTCAAGTGAAGAGGGGGGTTTAAGGGAACAGGCTGATCGTTCCTTTTTACTTTCAGCTGTGCTGTGCTTTGCTTACCTGGAAAGCATGCCCAGCGGGGTGACATTGAGTGATCCCATCAGCATCGCTAATGCCATCCCAGGGGCCTCCCGCTCAATCACTTCCTTCGTGGCCTATGATTAAAGAAAAGTAGTTGTAGCAAAGAGAGTAGAACAACCACTGAGCAACAAAGTGCAGAGCAGTCAGAAAATGATTTAACTCTTTTCAGTGGTTGAAGAGGGGAACCTGGAGGGATGAAATTCAGTAAAACATCCAGCACTCATTACTATCTCCTGTCTGTTTTTCTCTAGTTCTGTAGAGGTGTACAGTAGGTTTTATCCCCAACAAGTTTTTTTCTTTAAGTCCCTTACCTCCAAATACAAGCTTTTACAGTAGTCATTCAAACAAGCATCTCTTATCTGGTTTCCACACAAATAAAAACAGTAATAAAAGAAAGGTCAATGGTAAAGAACTAAAACATGTCTAAATTAGGAAGGTGTTCAAATTTTCCAAGTAAAATTTTGTAAACCTGGATTCTAAAATCAAACCTGAAATGTAAACTTCAGTGGGTTGAACAAGAAACTGATATTTTATATTACTGCATTTTTGGCACAACATTATGAAAAAACAAATAGATGTTGTAGAAATGTATTCTATACACTTTTACATTATCCTATTATGAAAAAAAAACAATATCAGCACCTACAGTACATAAAAAACTTAGAAAAGCATCAATAATATATAACCATTTTGATAAAGTATGAAATTCAACATATTTATATGAGAGATCCAGACAGCATAAAAACGTAAAAACATATAGTATTCAATTCAATTCAATTTATTTTTAAATAGCACCTTTCACAACAAGGTTGTCCCCAGGCACTTAAAAAGTCTGTGTGACAATACGTGACATTACAATACAGAAAGAGAAAAATCCAGAAGACAACAGAGGAGAGGAACCAAAAATTCCTCTATAAGGAGAAAAAAACCTCTAGGGGTCTAAGGTGAACTGGCTGCCCAACCCCTCTGGGCATGCTAAGATTATACAATTCTATAAAAAGTACTAAATGTGGAGAATTAGGTCTTCCATCATGTCCTTCTGTGTGCCTGTACTCCATGCAGATCTCTGTAGACCAGCAAATCCTCCTATATAATGAATTTTGCAAATTACATTTTAATAAAATATAAGACCTTTATTGCCAGGAACATCTGTTAGAGTAACAAAGTTGACTCTTCATCACTAAGCATAAAGCCAGAAAATTCTTATTACAAGTTTATGTCTTTACATGAATCCTGTTGCTTGTAATAGGGGGTGCCTCTTAAAACTTGCAACTTGTGTGGCCTTTCTGGTGAGTTCCATATGCAACAGGATTCACATACACATATACCCACAGTGATCAAACATATTTATGTCCAAAACAAATTCAACAATCTCTGCCAAGCCCTCAGTAGTTTGTGAAACTGAGTTTTGAACATATTCATCTGTCTTCAAAAGTCTTTGTTTCACTGGTGGAGAATTACAATTAACTGAATAATGAATAATGGGCATAAGAAAGGTGTAAAAAAGAGACCAATTATCTATATTCATGAGGATGCTGCGAAATATTTATTATACCAAGCCGCTGACAAAAGACTGCTGTCTGAACTCAGGTTGTTTTAATTTATGAAAGGAGGATCCTTTGTTTGTCCTTGAGTTGAATGACACTTCAAACATACCATTAGAAGTTTACAAATAAACAAAAAGCATCAAAAAGGAGAGGAACATGCAAACAAGCTTCATGAGCATATCCTTCAAGAAAAAGGAGCTGGTAATGAAATTCAGAACCTTTTTTTAACATTTTTAAAGAAAAATTGCCTTGACAAAATGCCATTCCTAGCAGTCAAGAGTATGAAATAGCCTACACAGCAGAGGGTAATGCTTTTGTTAAAGCAGTGAGACCCTCTGTGAACACCACTCAGCTTCCACGTTTTCGTCCAGCAAAAACTATGCAAGGCTCTTACAGCTGTGTTAGAAAACTACTCAATGAACCAGGCATTTTTTCAATTCTGTTTCCAAAAAGTGTTGTTAAAAAGGGGAATGGTTCTGCTTACTCAATGTAGACTCAAGCTAACCTCTAGCATGGTTTAGGAAGCCTTGTCTTTCTGGCTCTTATGACAAAGGTTCTAAAGGGCAGCTTGATAATGTGAGTTTTAAACTTTCCTATTCTAGCTAACTGCAAGCATGTCCTTGGGTTCTTCAATACTTATAAAATTCATAATAAAATAATGCATTGTAAAATTCTGAAAAAAACAAACCAATCACAAAACACTGACTTTCTGATTTACCTGGGGATTGAAACATTTAACTACTGAAAAGCTTTTCAGAATTTGTTTGTATATGCTTTTTATAAGAGGAGGGTCCACTGAGCCTTAACAGTGTCACAGTGGAAAAGCTGTTTTCTAAGACTACATTAATTAACAATGTTTTCACATCCAGAAAAATATAATTACCTAACATACCTATGAAGGAGTGACAATAAAATAATTACAAATTAACTGATATTACACGTTTTTAAGTTTAGGTTTAAAATCTGTGGAACCACACAGTGCACAGTGCACCAGCAGTAATGCCAGCTGTCTAGTCTAATCAGTACTAAAAAGTACAATACATTAATCCATGTGTTTAATGTAGTGGAAGCCATGTGTGTGAATGCATAGGGGGAAATAGCAATGATTATAGGATAAACAAAGTGGTACCTTATATTAGAGGATAAAATTTGTATTCTGTCTAGCTTCAACTATTTTTTACATTTCAAGCATTAAAAGCTAAATATAGATAAAGCCATTCAAATCAAGCGGGTTACGCTGCGGCATAACGCAGTGGGTGTGTTGCATTAAAACGCGTATAACGCATCATTTCGCATCATACAGATGCAGCCATTCAAAGTGCGCGGTACAGACACGTACCGGAAGTAATTGGCTACGGCGTTGCGCATTGTGACGCACGATGACGCGCGGTACCGCGGTACGTGATTGGTTGACCGACAGGGGGACTCGTGGTCCATTGGTCTGTCGTAGAAAGATTTACAGTAAACGTCTTTATTGTGCCCATTTTAGAATTTAATATTTATATGGAATTTTACCACTGAAGGGAAATCTTAGCAGCTGAGCATAAAATAAATAGGAGCATACTGCAACACGTGTGAAGGCCATAAACTATATTAATTTTGGAACATAAACATACAGTATATGGCTGGTCTTTATTTTATAGAAAAAATACACATGAGTATTCGATTTGATTAAAAGGGAATATAATATGGAATCGCGTATCTAAAGAAATTAATAACGATATAATTATATTCATGTACCACAACACAAGAATAGTACACACTGTACATTGTCTGTTGATAATGTTTCTGTAGTGCTTTTTCAGCACTCTACATGTGACCTTGCCGGTGGCGCTGTGGGTTAGGTTCCTGACTCCCACATAACACAGTCTGTGATCGAATCCCACTGGAGCCATGACTTTTTTTTTAACAAACATTTCTTTGAAAAAATGAAACGTTTCCCTTGGTCAGAGATTAAATAAAACCTCACTCGCACCAAAAAAAAAGTATATTTCTAAATATCACAACATGATCGAATTTAAGTCATTTTAATAACAATGAATAGTCACCTACTGTATGCATTACAATATAAACATTTATATTGATTTAAATCACGTTTTGATTTAAATCGTAAATGCGTGTTTAAATATATGTGTTTTTTGATTCACAATCAAATGCAACATAAATTGATATGTTTGTCTTCTAAGTATCTTAATAAACTTTCAGCATAACTTTCTTCCCATTTAGATTTATTTTTCTTGGGATCATGGGATCAAACGTGGAAAGATTAGATTGTAATCGTTTTTATTTTTTAAATACATTTTATAAAAGTGTAATCTATGCTAAAATACCTGTCTGAACTTGTATCGCCCTACTCCCCACCTCGCAACCTCCGCTCTTCAAATTCTGCCCTCCTTACTGTCCCCCAAGCCCGTCTA